CTGCCTGGCTTTCCCTCAGCCCATCCCTGATGTCTGATGTAGAAAAAGTCTCGTTTTTCTGCCCTTTAATTTCTCTAACAGGATTAATCACTGACACGCAGAGAGCAAACAAGACCTAGTGGTGAAGTCCAGAGGCTGATTCTCTGCTCTGAGGGACAGTTGGGTCATTCTCCCTCCTATACTGGTAGCATTTCTGGTGTCAGATGCCCCTACCCCAGCCACACTGCTAGGAAAATGGCAGGGTTTTGGTTTCTCCTCAGTCCATGTTCACAAATAAGACAGATAAATATTTGAGTGCCCTCTGCGAGCCTTACTTAAGTGTCCGAGGCCAGAAAAGCCTTGCTGAGTTGGGATCTATGCTTTTCCTTTTCCCTTGTGTCCCGCAGACGTAGAGAGCCCCTCGCCACCACCTGCGTAGGCAGACGCTTAAGGATTATGGATGGTACTGTTTCCAGTGATGACAGTCCACAGGTGTTTATTTTTCATAAATGTTCACTGAGTGTCTCCCGCATGCCAGGCGGTGTGCTAGCTGGGGACACACTAGTGAGCAGAAGCAACCCCAGTCCTGTCTTATGAAGGGAGATGGGGGTTCCTCCAATAGTCACACACCCGCGGTGCATACCTGCAGTGGGGCGGTGCTGGGACACAGAGGGACCAGTATCGCCAGAGCCCCTGATGAGGATATGTGACCTAGTTAGGTGGTGGAAAGGTGACCAGTCTGCCCAGAGCAGGGGGAGAGGTCTGGTTCAGGATCCTGGAGAGAACTCAGGGTGTTGAAGCTGCACTAAGAAGGTGTTGTCCTCGCCCTGGGAACAGTGGGAAGGGAGTGTGCTAAGCAGGGGCCACAGCATCGGTCTTACATCTCTGAGAGTTTACACATGTCCCACATCCCCATGTCCGGGCAGGGCGTGGAGTGAGGTGGGGGAGGGGAGGCTGGATTAGAGACCAGACAAGAATTTATTATAGAACAGAGGGCAAGGAGGAAGCGATGTGGACAGATCCGGGAGATTAAGGTAGAAGGCAAAGGACTTGGTAATAGATCTGATAAAGGGGTTGAAGGAAAGTAAGGTGCCAGGAAGATACCAGGGTTTCTAACTTCCATGACTGAAGATTGGTGGTGTCATTCACTAAGCTCTCTAGTACCTAGCGCTAGGGATTTTTTCTTTTTCTTTTTTTAAAGATTAATGTGCCATGCTACTCATTCTGGGACATATAAATATGAGTAAGAGATAATTTGCACCCTCACAGGGCTTGCAATCTAGCAGTGGGGTTGGAGGGAGTGGTTTAGATATTCTATCTCCTAAAATTTGTTTAAATTATGGCTGTTGCATAAAGTTGGCAATGGTAAATACACAGACACTCCTTCCAGGGGGTGGGAGGCCTTAGAACTTGGGTGCTCTGGCAGAGGAAGAGGCTGGGGATGAGGAGACATTCTTGGCAGATGAGGGAATGGCCTGGTGACCTTGGAAAGGCACCATGAAACACTGAATAAATCCTTAATGCAGACCAAATGGAAAAACACAGTATGGGCTTCAAGCTTGAAATTACAGAATCGAAAACTCATCTTTCATGGGCATGCCAAGTGCCATCAAAAGAAGTGAGCCATTTATTGGGCACAAGTGGGATGAGAGTGATTTGTGAAGACAGAGGGTACGTTACAACTTCTTTTCCTCCAGCAGCCTCTTAAATTCACTGCCTGATTGTTGCTAAATCTTTATAAGTATCACCATGGCAACCATTGATATGAAAAATAATATTAGCCTGGACGCTTCCGCTTCGGTTGATCTGACATTTTCCGCCGCAGTGGTCAATTTCATTGTTTGTGCAGATGACTAAAGAGGGTCCTGCTTGGATCCTGTCATAATTTCTTTTGTCCCGAGAAGATGAGTGCTGGTTAAATCCACCCTGATGTTAAGAAATGACCCAGTGGCATTTTGGGAGGGGTGGCTTTACCATTGTTTCATCTCTGAGGACGTGGTGGGAGATGCACCCAGCTGGCATCATCTGTGTTGGTTCAGGGGTGAGGCTGGGGAGTCCTGTAGGGTGGTTGGGAGATTTTGCCCAAATCAGTTCCACCAGTGGCTGTGGAGGAGGTATACTGCATAGAACCATGCACATTCTTTTATCATAGGCCCACCGTTCTTATAGTTTCTTCCTTCTGAATCTCTTCCTTCTGGTGTCTCATCCCAATCCTGGGCACCTAACTCCTCAATTCTGTATTTTCTCAGAGTCTCACATTTTATAATCCCTGCTGCTTTCTTCATCCTTTCATCCAACAAATGTGCAATGAATGCCTTCCCTCTGCCAGGCACCATTCTAGGCAGCTGGGTCACCAGTGAAGAGGAGCCCAGAACCCCTGCCTTTGTGGGACTTAATTGAATGGCAGGAGACAGACAATAAACATGATAAATAAGGAATTGACAGGTATGTTAGGTGATAAGGGGGTAGGAGTGCTGGGGTAGCCTGGTCACAGGTTTAATAAGATTATCAGGGTAGGCCCCTTGGAGAAGGTGGCACATGAGCAGACGTGAAGGAGATGAGGATGTTAGCATGAGAGAAGCCCGGCTTGTCTGAGGACCTGCAAGACCAGAGTGAGAGAGACAGGGAGTATGGCCGGGAGATGTGCCCAGATGGTGGGGTCAGATGCCCTGAGGCTGGATGATGCAGGTCCGGAGGGGGGCTTTGAACATATGTGACTGATGTGATCTGGCTAGTTCTAGTAGGATCACAACACTTGTCTGGAGAATGACTAGAAAGGACTCACAGTGGCAGAAGAGAGAGATGTGATGAGGCTGTTGCAGGAACCAGGCGGGGGATGGTGATGGCTTACACCAGACTGCTAGTGGCAGGTGTGAAGCGAAGTGGTCATATTCTGGATATATGTTGAAGGTAGGGCCACTAGGATTTACCAGTGGGTCAGAACATTCCCCTTTGGTCTTTTTCTCAAGTTGTAAATGGTAGAATAGTCTTCCTAGTAAAATAGATACATATTTATATAAGGATTCCACACATGCTAGCACTTTTTAAATGTAGTATTTCCTTTCCTGTAGAGGAAATTCCAACTGAACATATGGAATTGTATAAGAACAACTTAGCATCATGGTTAAGAGTGCAGGCTGCAGAATAAAATTGACTGGTCCCGGATGTGTGACCAGGGACAAGTTAGTTAGCAGCTCAGCTGCCTCGGTTTTATCCTCTCTAAAATGGGGATCATAAGAGTTCCCGCCTCATAAAACTGTGAGGAAAAAGAGAAAATATACATATGAAGCACTTAAAAATGTGTGGTCCATAGTGTATTAAAGAAAAATTAATAATAATGATTTTATTAGCATTTGCCCTAAGTTCTTTTAGTGGCTTCTTAAACTTATAAATGACCTGAATATTTTTTCTATATTAGTATTCTTAAGGACTTTTTAGTTCTCTAAAATGCCCATGGTCATGGAAAGTCATTCCTTAACTCAGTGCTACTCTGCCTTCCGAGCTGATGCAATGTTTGCTCGTTGCAGTGCACTATTGTACTGTAAAATTGTGTGTGTGTGTGTGTGTGTGTGTGTGTGTGTGTGTGTTTGGCTCTCTAGTGAGAGCTCTTCCATGTCCAGCTGAGGAATCAGATCACCCCAGACCATCCTAGCTCTACCAGTCATCGTGTCTCCTTGAACACATTGTTGAACCTGCTTCTGCCTCATTTCCCCATTCTGTAAAATAGGGGTGATCATAGAATCTATCTCACAAAGTTCTTGTGATGGTAAAATGAGGTAGTCTCATAGAACAAGGGCTCGTAAAACAGCTCCTCGCACAAAGTAAATGATCAATACATTTTGACTCTGAGTAGAAATAATGATCCCTGGGCTGGGCACCATGATGTCGTATCTCAATGTCTGAACGGCCCCCTCCCCCCGCCCCCGCCCGCGGGAAAGTCGCTAGCTCCCATTCATAAAACATTAAGATTAGGTTTATTTAGACATGATTCCCTACAGACCCCCTCTAATTTTTTCAAGTATTTTTATCTGTTTCATCAAAAAGTACATGCTGGGACCTTCTATTATTTATTACCTAAGATAAACCTGAGTGCGTATGTACATTTTCTCTATCTCACACAAGAACTTGGAATAAAACCATGAATGATATTTTTTCCTCTGGAGAGTTTGAAGAGTTGTTGAAATCCTAGTCATGATATTTAGTGTGTTATGAGTTCTTTATGCCTGTTGTTAAATATGCCATCATTTTATTGACACATTACAATGAAGTGGGCAGCCAGCTACAGTAATAGGCTTCCCCTAAGGAGTGTGAGTACCAACAAATCTGATGGCGGGCACTGCCCAGGAAACCAAACGTGTGTTCAAACACCAGCTAGCTTTATAGAGGATGATGGGTGCATGCATGCTTAATCAAATGGCTGCTATCAAGTACTTCAGGCAATTTTTTTTTAAGGATATAAATAGGTAGTCAATATCTATTAATTGGTTTTTATTAAGAATTTATATTAATTCTATTAACATTTACTTTTACGGCATCTTGCTTTTGAGGAATTATTAATGTTCAGTTTTGTGATTTGTACTCCTGTTCTTCCACTCTACCTACACACAAAAACCACTTGGAAAAGGTCACCAAATACTGATACCTGAGCCTCTTTCTAAAGGTTGTGATCTAATTGAATTGGGATAGATCTCAAGCATCAGCATTTTAAAATTATATTTTAATATGTCAAATGTATACAGAGTAAAGAGAATTATAATAATAAGCCCATATAGATCTATCACCCAGGCATGATACTCACCTTCAGTTGTGGTTTTTTTTAAGTGTTCCCTTAGGTGATTCTTCTAATGTACAGCCATGGTTGAGAACCATCATGTTGTTCTAGTAAAATAGAAAATGGAAGGAGTATTTCAATGGATATTGATAACAAGAACAGCTAAAATTTGCCCAAGGCCACATAATGATTTTATCGTCTAGTACTCTGTTCATTGGGCTCTAATGGTGTCCATGAATGTATATGTGATACAGTAGGTGTATGCCTGCTTGATTTTGTTGAACAGTGGAATAATTTGGAAATGGGCATTGGAACACCTGGAAAAAATTTAGGAAAAGGCTTGAAAAAATAATGGTTTCCTATTCAGAATCTTTATACCTTGACTCAACATCATTCTCAGCCACCTAAGGCCACTCAGTAAAACCTGGCTCAGAGATAAGAAAGGTCTGATGAGCAAGGGTGGGACAAGTAGATTCGACTGATGGATCAGAGAAACACGGGGGAGGGGAATAGGGGTGGATATTGTCATCAGATTTACAGAGAAAAAGCACTAAACCAATGACAAATCAATCTCAAACTATAACAAAGAAGTTTTCTAGGCTATTCTGTAACATGTAAATATACATCTATCAGTGTATCTTAATGAAGTCAACGTTTGAGTTTCTACCTCAACAGTGAAGAATTGTGGACAATTCCTGGTTCCTGAGTGGCAAACACATGGAAAGCAATTTGATCTCAGAGTTGGACACAACTTTAAATATGACGTTGCCTAAGTGCCCACCTGATAGAGGACTCTGCTCTAGGGCCATACTGACATTATGGTATCTCCTTGAACATTCTAGGTAGAGAGCCTACTGCGCATAAGGCAACCTGGTCCATATTACAATAGCAGTCCTTTTATTGAGCTGAAATCTCGTTCTTTAACATCCTTTTAACCAAAGAAACTATTTCTGGTGCCCCCATGTTGTCTTGCTACTTAAATATATGTAGACATAATGCTAGAATAACATTTTTTCATGCTTATAGATCTCATCAACTATAAAATTAAAAGAACCTTACAAATCCATATGAAAAATGTAAGACCCTTACAATAAAATTATCATTAATTTAATGGGATTAATGATACTGTTTTTCTGAACAAAATTCCTCCTCTAAGGGGGTGTCTGTTTGCATATGTATGTTATACCAAAAGGTATTAATAAAGTCTCTATTTGCAGGGTTTGAGATTGTCAAATCTCACACTTAACCAAAACTGCCAGCAATTAGTTCTCCATTTCCTGTTTTAATGAGACATCCCTTGGCAACTTTGTAAAGATGTTTTGTGCACTTGGAAATTAAGGTCAGAGTTGTAGTTTTACTGCAATCTTCAGTAAATGGGCATCTAATCCAATTATTGCTAGAATTGGGTACAGAACAATCTTTCATTGTTATTTATTACTATACTTACTGCTAATGAACTGCTGTTGCAAATTGATGCATACGACAGGATCCAAGCAATAACTCTTCTTGCAATATGTATACTGACTTGTAGTGTAGACTCCCTTTAGTTCTGCTACCTATATGGCTGAATGAGGCTAACCTCCTACCACTTGTCTCTGTTCCAACTTCTATGAAACATCTGAGTACACTAACTTTGTTCCCTGTGGGATTATTGTTGTACACTGGTCTCCTGGATCCTGGGGACCTTGTTAAAAGTGCCTGCTCTCTGGACCCCAGAGGTTCTGATTTGCTTAGTCTAGGGCTGGACCCCAAGAATAGGTTATATTAACAAGCACTCTGAGTGATTCTGATGTAAATGGTGTGAATACTTCTATCACTTTCCAAGATTATTGTTGACATGGAAATATAAAATTTCTCTTTACAAACAACCTGGATTGAGAAACCCTGGCATCCTTCTCAGATTTGTATCATCTGCAGATAAGCCCACCTTGCATGTTCCAAGTTCCTGATAAACATCTTCAACAGGAAAAGAGTCAGTAGAGGAAGCTTTTTAACAAAATGGCTTTGACTTATTAAATGCCAGATTTATTACAAGGAACACAGATATTCTAGATGGTATTTTCATTGATTCCCAGAACATTCTGGAAGCTGTGGACTAGAGTGGAATCACATTTGCAGGTTGTACCCACACTGTTAAAGTAAGCAAGTACAGTGAGGTAATTAGAAAGAAAAAAAAAAGTGCTGGAAAGTAGGGATCAAATTAAGAAGCAAAGCTGACAATTTTTTTTGGTGTAGTCATAGCTGTACATTTCTTAGTTTATAGGTTAACTATGGCATGTTTGCCTGAAGAGAGAGTTAATAAACGAGACATCTGAATGTGTCTTATTACCCATTTTTTTCTTCTTCAGCTAATTCTTTTTTTTTTTTTTCCTTCAGCTCTTTCTTACTGATTGCTGTTAAAACAAAATATAATAGCTGGTTAGGATTATTTACAACTTTATAGGAGAATGAGAGGCTTGCTGGCATTTATTTTATGTCTTTTGGGGGAAAGTGATTGAAATGTTAAGTGTCTTAGTAAAACCTAATACTGATCATGTTTGGGATATCACTGTGGTCTCAGATGGTGAACAGTTTGGGAGTTGAATTTAGTAATTTTATAGATTACCAACTTCCATTCTTTGTATTTTGCCATTATATATATACTGGCCAAATATAAATAGTCTTAATGGATTTCTATTTTTACTCAAGGGGAGAAGAGAATTGAGCATTTAAACTTTATAAAGAACTGAGGATTAGAATAACCTTAATTTTTTTTGTTAAAATTATTCTATTTAAAAGGGCTGAGATTTCTAAAATATACTTGAAATGGAAAAAAATTTTAAAAAACCCAGTAAGTGTATATTTTAATACAGTGGAATTTATACAATATGTATTGGCCCCACCTTTATGACCTATATTTTTATACAAGTATAACCTAAAGAGAGAGAGGAGGCAAATAGGAAATTCTGATGAATAGGAATGATTTTTTAAAATGATGTGTAGGCATGTCTAAACTTGTTCCCTCTCATGTGTACATATTTTTGTACATTTTATGCTGCGTTTATAATTATGGGTGGTTTTTTACTTCATTTTGCATCTGTGCTCTGCATGTATACAGACCCCTGAAATGATGTATACAAACCCTGAATGAAGAGAGCATCTGGAAGCGTTAATGAGCTATATACTTGACAGTATTCTCAAGCCCTAGAAACTCTTAAACATATTTTTATTTCATAAGAATAAGCTTGCTACTTTTGAATTAAGCATTCATCCCCATATTTCTCTTATTTATGGTCCCCATAAGGCCGTGGCGAAAGACTTTGTGTCCTGATTTCAAGGACTTAATATGCAATGGAGGTGCCTGACGTGATCCTGAACATACAAGATGTCTCAACTAGTTACTCCAAGTGTTGTTAACATCCTACTAAGGCATCTTAGGCTGAAAAACAGTCAACTTAAAAGTACTGGAGAATATGGACATTTTTAAAAAGACCACAGTGCTTTATGTGACAGTAGTCTGAGGTTGTCAAAGAGGGCAAATGAGTGTTGCATGCCTATTAAGGTAGCCACCTTTGTAGGGTTTGGTTAGGCTTTCAAGATATTCTTCTAATGCTGACGCTGAAAGGCAAAGTTCCGATGTAGTCACTGGCCAGATTCTGCACCATTTCTTTCTGGAGTCTTGTTGATGAGGCTGACAATATGACACAATCTGCAAATTCTGCCTCTGCCTTGGCTATCAGGTGGGAATTACGTTGCTGTGCAGGCAGCAGAGTACCAGTATCAATGAGTCAGCATGCTGTTGGCACCTGGGGCTCGGTGGAGCTTTGGGGGACATCCTGTCTCTGTGGTTCGGGATGAAGTTCCACACATGCATTATCTTACCAGAAGTTAGCTATGCTCCCTTTCTCTGTACCATGGCTAGAATTCTAGATGGCTTGTTGGCCTTCAGTAATATATTTTGTATACAACAGAATAATTTCAGAAAGCCCATAAATAAGAATAATGTTGTAAGGTAAGCCTTAGTACGGTGGTTGAGACCAGAAAGGGCATCATGAGACCTAGGCTGGAGTCATGGAATCCTTCCCCACATATCATGGATTATTTCAGTATTTGCCATGTAGATATAGTAAACCAGAAATCTGATGAACTGGGTTCAATCTGCACTGGCTCTAGGACTGTGTGAAAAGCATTCCCTTGACCCAAGGACTACTTTTCTATAACTTACTGAAAAAGCACCAGAAGAGGTTTCATACTGGTAAGAATAAAGAATTCTCTGGGGCTATAGGAGGCTTCATTTTTGTTAGTGGGAGGAATGCAGGGAGGAATTAGTCTTTATGAAAGAAAGCAAATCCAACTGTAATGGGATCATCACCTTGCCTTCTACTTAATTTTGTTACTTTCCTTCTCTTTTCCATGTAGAAAAGCTCATAATTAAATTTCCTGATAAGAGTTAAAAAGGTTTTTCATTATTGCTTTTACTCAGCAGGTAGAGATGTGATAATGTCGTTTTATTTTATAGACCCCTAGTACTTTTGAAGCATAAGAATTTCGGAATTAATCTCTTATTTTATACAAGAGGAAACTCAACTCTCAAATATAGTAACAACTTAGTTCATTAGCCAACATCCATTCATTTAGCGAAAATGTTCAGTGCTTGGCTTGCAATGTACTCAGTGAGGCACTGTGGGGAGACAGAGATGACGACGAGAGGCTCCTGCATGATATTAATAAGGTAGAAGAAAAAGGATTACAGAGATGTGAGCAAGTTACTGGTAGAGCTCTGTGCTGCTCACAAGTTTTTATTTGGCATTTCTTTTCTCCATATCTGTGCCAGGAAAGTCAAAAAAGAAGAGCTGAAAGCCTTGGTCAAGCCCAAAGATTTTCATAGTATTACTTCCCAGATTTACTATTAAACTATGAAGCAGTATGGTTTTTACTCCAAATTTTGAATTCGTGGAATATTCAGATAATTAGCGAGGTACTTCTAACTTGTAAAAAATAGTATTTAGTATTCTAACATTTTCTCCCAAGAAAATAGACATCTGTACATTTTTGCTGATTTTCTCCATCACCAGAAAGATTAAGATTCATGAATCAGGGAGAAAACAGTTTGCTTTCAATTAAAAAAAAGTAACAAAAATATGGCAATAAAATGAATGAAAATATGAAGCCATCTGTGTCTGAAATGATAATGCCAGCTTAGTGTTTGTTGTAAACAATACAGTTTGTTCAAGTCCACTTTTTTTTTTTAAAGATTTTATTTATTTATTTGACAGAGACACAGTGAGAGAGGGAACACAAGCAGGGGGAGTAGGAGAGGGAGAAGCAGGCTTCCCGAGGAGCAGGGAGCCCGATGCGGGGCTCGATCCCAGGACCCTGGGCTCATGACCTGAGCCAGAGGCAGACGCTTAACGACTGAGCCACCCAGGCGCCCCGTTCAAGTCCACTTTTAAAGGAGAGTATTTAAGTGTACACACAAACAAGGAAAAAAACCCTTTCTTCATTCACAGATCTTATATGACACGCACACAGCCATATAGGTACAAATGTGAGATGTGTATATATGTCTGTAATATTCCTGTGGCCTGATAGAAAATTAATATAGGTAATCCCCAAATCTATCTTCCAGTATTTGAACTATCACCATTATCTGTCGCTTGACAGTTCAGGTCCTTGTTACCTGTGGTACATGGAACAATGCCACAATCCCTTCCTATATCAGCTCCTTGTATTTGCCCCTCCATTCTCCAAATCACATTATTTTTCCTTTAACAAAACTTCAGCCACGTTTTCTTGCTTAAAATGTCCCAAAGGTGCACATCTTCTACTGAATACAGGTTCACAAACTCCATAGCAACATAGTAACCATGATTTTCCAATTTTCTCTCCCATGCAACCAGAAAAATGCCCCCTCCCCTTTTCTGTTGCCTTTGCCCTGTCCTAAAAACCCAGGCCAAGTCTCCCCAATTCCAGAGGCTTCACTGACAGACCCAGCCTACTAATCTCTGCCTCCTATTCTGCACCACATCTTTGGCACCCAATAGTAAATGCACTATTTTTGTGAATCCATCCTGCCACCTTGAGTGGCTGAGCTCCTGAAAGGGTGATCAGGACTACTTAAAGAGGGCCCTAAACATTTTAATATATATGAGTTGGTTACTTGATTAGAGCTTATTGTGAGATGACCTGGAATAATTTCTTTCACCTGTAAATCAGAGCATGAGCACCCCCCCCCCCCCCCCCGCCAATTTCAGCTGAAAGCCTGATCAATAACTTACTCCCCTGATAGACTGGGAAGCTTGGGAGACCACCTGTAACTGGATCTTGATGGTGGAGAGGAAGGAGAAAATGGGAAGGAGGGGGCTGCCGAAAGACAGGAAACCTCTTCCTTCAACCTTTAATTCAGGTGTTCCCTACTAACTTGATATTTCTTGAACACCCACCCTGCGCAAGACGCCGCCAATTTGATTATTTTTTTCTTTAAAAAAGAAAAAAAAAAAAAAACCACTGCAGCCCCTGAGCCAGTAAATTACTCACCTGATGGCCAGGAACACCCTCCCCCCTCCCCCTTACAGGGGGTGTCTGGGAGGCATAAGGAATGGGACAGAAAGCCTGGGCTGTAATCTAAAGTGGAAATCCAAAGTCTAATGCTATTGGCAACGGTCTCGAGGCGTTGTCCCTGAGCCAGACCCTGCGCCAGGATGGAGAAGCCTGTTACAACCTAACTGTCCTGGAGTGCTGCGGTGGCTCCCTCCCCCGCAGCTGGGAGGCGACGGCAGGACAGGGTTGGCTTTCTCTGCGTCGGCTCTGGGCGTGTGCCCCCGCCGCAGCTCCGCGGAGCCTCCGAGCCGCCTGCAAAGGGGGGCGGGGAGCGGCGGCGATCAGCCCGCGTCTGCGGCTTCCTCCCCACGCCCGAGCCTCCTGCGCACAGCCGGGAGGACGCCAGCCCGAGCCTCGTCCCCACGCCGCGGCGCGCGGGCTGCCTACCCAGCCGAGGTAACTTTTCTGGCAGCCGGAGCGGAGGGGGGCGGGGATCCGAGGGGTCTCCGGTTTGCGAGGCGCGGAGGACTAGCGGGAGGCCGGGGGCGAGGCGCGCGCGGTGCGCGGCTGACGCGTGGCTCCGGCGCCGCACGGCCGCC